TTGCACTCCTGCTACTTGAATTCAATTAGTGATTCTAATTGTTGAGATCTGGCAACTATTGTAAAATGTCCGAGAAAGCTGAAGCAAGATGGAATTTTGTCTGCCTCCCCAAAGTGCAAAAGACTTTTGTTCAAGCAAGCAACAACATTTTCTGCCTGCACACCACACCCAAATGTGGATTACAGGGTGAGGTGATTTTAAAATACCAACTGGAGAAACTTGACAAAGATGTAACTTTATTAAGTAGGAATTTGTCAGACAAAGATTAGAAGAGGTGGTGGAAATAACATTAAACAAACAATCAATTAAACAAACATACAATAAATAAATAAATATATTTAAACAAGCGTAGAACAGAGCCAGAACACTCACTTGCTACTCCCAGGCTTTCCCATACTAGTACACAGATTATCTGCAAAGATGTCACCCCTGAATTTTATCAATGGTCATTTGTTAGTTTTGTTAGTTTATCTTCTATTTTTCTTTGTAACAAAAGTCTGTGCTAGCATGAGAGTGCTTTTCATTAAATTTGCAATAGTGTAGATCAAGGCTACTCAACATGTGGCCCGTGGGCCATATATGGCCCACAGCCCGTTTGTTTGTGGCCCACAGTGTGGTTTGGGTTTACGCAAGGCTCAACATGCAGCCTCCAGGTGGGATCCTTTGAACATGGCCTCCATTGGGAATATACTCCACATTAGTCAATATAATGGTCTTCTATTGATAAGCGTTTTAGTAGTTAAATTCCTGGACTGTCATTGCTCATTAAAAGTGTTGTCATGTAGGGTATGTTTAGGCTACAGGGATTTTTTGAAAAAAAGTGGCCTTGTAGGGCATGTCTAGGCTACAGGGATTTTTTGAAAAAAAGTGGCCTTTTTTAGAAAAATATTTACCTGAATCTAGACTGCCACCACGTTCTGTCGACAGTAAATCAAAAGAATGTGGTGGTTTTGTGGACCACAGAAAACCTCGTTTTACGAGGAAAAATTCCTTTTTTCGAAAGTGCTGTTTCGACAAAAGGTGCTGTGTAATGCAAACTGTGCTTTTCCAAAAGACAGCATCCAGACTGCCTGGGTGCTCTCTTTCAAAAAAGAGGCTTGCTTTTTCTAAAGTACTTATTGTAGTCTAGATGCTCTTTTTTGAAAGAGGCTTTTTCGAAAGCATGTTTCGAAACAGCTTCTTTCGAAAAAGACCTGTGGTCTAGACGTAGCCATGGGTGGAAATCGGATAAATATTGCATTTTATTATTATCAGCAGAACTGACTTAAATGGGGCCTGTATGTTGTGTAGTCTTGCCTCAATCTTTGTATTCATGCCCGTCAGTGTGAAATAAACTATTTGCATATATTTGCATATATATTTGCATGTATATGCAACTACACTTAAGTTGCGCCCCTCAGTACATGCTGTGAGTATCATTGTGGACCCTGGGACTTCCAAAGTTGAATAGCAGTGGCGTAGATTCTACATAGTGGCTGTGTCTAGATTGGCGTGATTTTCCGGAAATGCTTTTAACGGAAAAGTTTTCCTTTAAAAGCATTTTCGGAACAGAGCATCTAGATTGGCACGGACGCTTTTCCGCAAAAAAGCCCCGATCGCCATTTTCGCGATCGTGGCTTTTTTGCGGAAAACAAATCTGAGCTGTCTACACTGGCCCTTTTGCACAAAAGCTTTGCGCAAAAGGGACTTTTGCCTGAATGGGAGCAGAATAGTATTTCTGTAAGAAGCACTGATTTCTTACAGTAGGAAGTCAGTGCTTTTGTGGAAATTCAAGCAGCCAGTGTAGACTTTCCGGAAAAGCAGCCGATTTTCTGGAAAAACTGGCCAGTCTAGACACAGCCAGTCTGTTTATTTTTGTTTCCTCTATTATGTTTTAACCTTGTAAATAGTATAAAATAAATGCTATGAGAAACGTTTGCAAAACTGGGTGCTTAAAAATATGTTCCCACATGTGTATTTGTACATCTAAAAACAATTGTTTTAGGTATCTAAGTAATGATTTAGGTGATTAACTTTAGGGTTAGCATGAATTTTATAAAAAAATTGGACCTTTCTATGGATAATGAAAATATCCACAGTAACCCCCCTTCTGCTCAAAATCTAGGAGGGGACATAAACCTTCATGGTTCAGGGCATAGGGCAGCTTTTGGCTGAGGGGATTTGGAATATATTGTATAATTATCTATTGTGGAGGTTGTCATAGTTTCAGGGTGAATGTACGTGCATCCCCCCCTCGCTGGTCCCTCAAGGGTGCACAACTGAGATTTCCAAATTTCTGCCATCCCCTCTCCCAGGGGACCACCAGTGTCTTTATCTCTGCCGGGTGCATGGGATTTTAAGGCTACACTGCTCCTTGCCTTACATTGGGATATGTATAGGAAGCCAGTCTGCTTAAAGCCCTGTGCATTGCCCTGTCTCTGAAGGCTATGAACAGTATATTGTTGGTACTTACAAGTCACCACTCAGCTTTTTCTAAGCAAGGACTTTTATACTTAAGATAAAAGCATTACAGAGGAAACATATACAAACAATGCAAGTTCCTATACACATGCAAAAAGTTTATGAAACTCTCATTCATAGGGGGCCCTAGTAGGCCAAAGTCTTTCCAACCTTTCTTCAAGGGCCGGGGCCTCCTTGAACATAAGATCCCATCCATTTGCTAGATCAGAAAGAAGTCCCTGAGCCACTCTCAACACATTTTTTTTTAATATCAAAAGCCCTTTCTTTGTCTGTTGGTTTCTGTATTTTTTTTTTTGAAACAGCATATGTTATCTCCCCAGGAGACGGCACCTTTCTAGAGGAATTTTCAAGCTGTGTGATTTCCTTTAATTACCCCCTAATGTTTTTAGTTGCTGGTGGAGCTGTGCAAACTAGCTGCATGGAATTCTGGGCTCTCAGTGATATATAGGCCATTCACACACTTGATTCAATGTAGTCCCCAAAGATATTACATGCAGTTGCAGAGGTTCTGCACCTTCCACTGAATCAGCTGGTACTGCCCACTATTCAAGCTAGGATACTTGACTAAATGGATTCAGTTCAAATCCAGAATAGCAATTCACATGTTCCTACCCAGGAGTGGAAAGTTTGGTCTATATCTATACTATTTTTTGACTGCATAGTGTAGCCAAAGTGTTCACACATTAATTACTGGCATGTTCTTAAAGCTCCTCCAGTAGGGGCAGATTTGCTAGTTCTCATTGGTCAGAACAAACAGGAGACCATGATGGCTGCTGTTAGTCAGTGTGGAGGGAGTTGACCTTTTGGCTCTGGAGTTTCTTCAGGGGCCTTTGGGTGAAGCTATATAACACTAACCCTGGGCTCTGGTACTAGTTTAAGCCTAAGCCCCTCCTGTTATCCACACTGACATCAGCCTTCCTCATGCCAGAAATCCCTTTGGGCTGGGACTGCAAATCCTACTGGGGCAGTATTGGAGTGATGAGTAGTAGCACACGGTATCGATAAACATATCTTGCACATTCATCCACTCCAGTCCAGTTGCAACCTGTGTGTATAAAATGCACCAGAAAGGGAAAGGAGAGCAGAAGGACAATGGATGTTCAGAAAAAATTGGCCCAGCCAATTAGCAACATGGACCTTTCTCTGTTTGGGCACTGAGTTTGGTCACTGTGTTGTAGGTTTGCATGGCAGCTGGTCTGCCTAGCTGATTCTTACATTGGTCTGTAAATACAGATGTAAAATGAAGTGTGGAATTTGCACAGAAGGCAGCCAATTGTTTTATATATATTGTTAAAAGAGGAACAGACTTTCATGAATGTTATATGCCCTTTCTTAAGGCTGCAATTTTTCATGGAGGTCACAGAAGTTACATATTCAGTGACTTTCCATGACCGCTACGACTTTGGCAGCTTCACTGGCTAGTATGGCTGACTCCAAGGCTGCCCTGGGAGCATCCAAGTAGCTGCTGGTGTGGCTGGCCCCAGGAGCAGCCTCGGAGCCAGCTACACATGCTGTTGCTGGAGCAGCCCTGGGCCTAGCATACTGGCTGCTGCTGGGCATTCCCCAAGGCTAGCTAGCTAGAGCCACCAAAACAGCAGTCAGTGTGGCAAGTCCTAGAATGTTCCAGACAGTGCAGCTGGCCCCAGTGAGCACCTGAGCATCAGTCCCAGAAGGGACACGAAGATCACCTGAGTAACAATGGCCCAGTGCGCAATTGGAAGAAGTAGTGGGGTTACTGGGGGCAGAGAGCTCCCCTCACTGGATCAGGTGTCACCAGAGCAGCAGGGGCCCATGAGCAGAGATTTAGTCATCTTGAGGATTTGTACTAAAAGTCAGGCACAGGTTGTTACCTTAAAAAAATTCTCACTGGAGCCCACCCAGGGTTGGTCTCCAGTGAATTGCAGTTTACAGTAAGTTTGAGAGTTACACAGATTCCAAAGTTTGACAAAGATCACAATGAGTGACAGTTTAAAACCTTAGACCTTACAGTTTGGTGTAGCTTCAGAAAATCCATGTATATAAATCTAGTAAGCTCAGGCGGAGGCTTTTTTATGCAACACGGGTCACAGGCCGTGTTTTTTTTTTAATTTCCCATGCCCCATCCATGACTTTTACTACAAATACCCATGACTTAATCTTAGCCTTAGTCATTCTCAATACATGTCATAATACAAATTTACAAACTGTCATCACAGTAAGCCATAGACTGTGAATGTAAGTACATAGCCAGTATTTATAAAATGTAGAACACATCTCCATACATTTCAGGAAAGCATTTACACAATTCATTACAAATATATAATATCACTTTTTAAAAAATCCAGCAGCTATTCCACATCCATACCATCACTACTTCACTTTTTTTTTTCATTCTCCCGCATGCAAATCCATTATGTGGATGCACAAAGCATTCCTGATTTGTATGGAGCATTTGGATTTAGTGTCAGTCATGACAGGTGCACTGTCTGTCTGTGTGTACTAGTTCAGAAATCACAGACCTGAGTCCACTCTTGGCCAAAAACTTTCCCCTTTTTTTGCAGACACTATGTAGAACACAGCAGGTCATGTAATGCAGATTGCATTGATGACACTGACATTCAAATTGATTTGAAAACAGCGCCAAAGGGATTTCAGTCTTCCAGATGCACATCCCATCACACCCCGACCTACTGAGTCTGTTGAACATTCTTTTGCCAGGTCCTCTGACACCAAGGTAAGGTTTCATTAGCCATGGGAATATGGGGTAAATAGGATCAGTAGCAACAGATAATATTGTCATTCAGTGTGAATAATATCTTAACTTGTCCATGAAAGTAAAGTCGTGATCCCAGGCATCATCCATCCTGCAAACGGATCCCATGTTAGTGTTCCTGATCTGTCCCTGTGGTCAACCAGGGCCTGCATAACAATGGGGTAGTTCCTTTGAAGTTTATGTACTCATGTGCACCTTGTACAGGGCAAATAACAGTAACAGAGTCCCATCCATGGCCCATCAGTACAATGTGGAAATTCTAGTCAGTCAAAGATAGCAATTATTTCAGCAACATTTGTAAATCCCACCACCTTATCACCTCACAAATTGATGGGTACATCATAGTCCTCGTCTCCTCACAAATTTCTGTCACAACAACCCCCTATGTTTCCAAAGCAGTCTGGATGCTCAAACATTGGCTTGGAAACAATGAGTTTACACAGACCTGGGATTACTATGTTGGGTAAACATACACTATTGGACTAATTCTTTCATTAGCTGTTGAATCCAACATTTTGATACCTGTATGACAGGCTCTGTGATGGAAACCTCATGGGGACTGTCACTGGATGTGCTGAAATACCACTGAGCCTACTTTCCTGCCCTCCTGTGTGCCTCTCAACTCTGTCCTGATGAGCCAGGCCCTGCAGCTTCCTTCAGCACAGACACAGAGATGGAGTTGTAAACATTGAGGTCAAATAAGCCCTGGGAAGGCTCAGCCAAAGGAACTTGCCTCAGCACCCAAATGCATAGCCTCCATGGGGCCAGAAATCCATCTTACTCTGTATAAAGTTTTACACAAGGTAAGCTCACGTTCTAAGGGTAAAGAGAGATATACACAGACTCCTTGTCCCATAGGTACCAATTACTTACAGTGGGTTTATTAATAAACAAAAGTGATTTTATTAAATATAAAAGGAAGGATTAAGAGGTATTAGGAGATATTAGACAAAACAATTTAGTTAGTAAGATAAAACAGGATATGCACGCTAAGCTTAATACACTGAGAAAGTGTTTACTTATACTAGCTCACTGTCAGGGGTATTTTGATAAGTTGCTTTCACAGACTGGAAATGTCCACCAGGATCTCACAGATGCTCCTCCTGATTCCTGAAATGCAATTGACGGTGAGAGGTGGAGAATTGATGTTTGACTCAATCCTCTTCCCAACCCCTTTCAATGTTAGATGTTTCCAGCTATCATCTTGGGTGGGGAAGCCAGGAAAAAGTGATGACTAGCAACAGCCCTCATTGTTTGGTTCCCACCTTTATATGAGTTTTGCCAAAGGGGGGAATCCTCTGTGTTCAGTTTAAACTTTTTCTCACTTTCAATGGAAAAGTAAAGCATCCAAGATGTATCCTAGCATCAGGTGACATGGCTAAATGTGTTGGCAGGATCAACCATAGCCCCTCCTCCCGGGTTTATAGGAAAAACAAGACTATTCACAAATCATTGCCCTGAGTATTGGGCCATTATGTTTATTAAATACTGGTAATGGCCCTCACTTAGCATGACAAAATTAATAACACAGATTTATACTTCATATTTCTAACTTGAAATACAGGAATGATACATGTACACAAATGGGAAAATTATATTCAGTAGATTGTAACTTTTCCAATATATGGGGTATTTCACATAAAGCATATTCTACTTATGTTGTATTCATAAGCATATTTTCATAAAGCATATGGAATGCCCTGTGACAATTTGAGCTTAATGTTGGGCATCTAAATCCATATTTATGGGCCTAAATAAGATTTCCAGAGTTGCTGAGTATCCAAAGCTCCCATGATGGTCAATTAAAGCTAGTGCTCAGCATCTCTGGAAATGTACCAATTATTTAGATTTCCAAGTATAGATTAAATGCCTAAGTTTAGGTACCCAAGTGTAAAAATTATTCCTTAGGCTGAGATTTTCATACAGGGATGCCTTAATTTAGGCTTCCAAGTAATTGCAGCTGGTTGGCAATGTAATTTTGTCTAACTCAAAATGTTTCATTGGTTTCAGCAATTACACTGAGGTACTCTGACTCAGGAGGAGGGAGACCCAAGATCAAGAGGCTATTTAGAATGATTGGGGTGGGAAACTTTCTTTTGAATCAGACACAGCAAGGACTTATTCACACAATTCCAATTTTGTGGAAATGTATGATAGTGTTTTTGTTCTAATACAGAACAAAATCAAATTTCAAAACTCTGAAAATTTCTGTGTAAAGGAGTTATTATCTTCTACTCAGTGTTATTCCCAAATTGTTAGGTATCTAAATAAGTTGCCTACATTTTTGAGAGAGTTGAGTATCATAAAAATGGCCATATGGAGTCAGATCAGTTGTTCACTTAACTTAGTATCTTGTCTTCTGATAGTGGTCAATGCCAGATGCTTCAGAGGAGTGGACAGAACAGGAAGTTATTGAATGATCCACCCAACATCTAGTTGCCAGAGGTTTCCGGACACCCATCGCATGGTGTTGCATCCCTGTCTATCTTGGGTAATAGCCCATGGTAGACATACCCTCCATTAACTTATCTACTTCTTTTTTAAACGCAGTTGTACTTTTGGCCTTCACAGTATCCCTTGGCAATGAGTTCCATGGGTTGATTGTGTCTTGTGTGAAAAATTACTTCCTTTTGTTTGTTTGTTTTAAACCTGCTGCCTATTAATTTAACTGGCTGATTCCTAGTTACTGTGTTATGTGAAGGGGAAAATAATACTTCCTTATTCACTTCCTACACACCTAATTATCACCTGCCAGCATCCACAGTAAGGAAAGGGGCAAGAGGCTCTGACAGTGCAGAGAAGAGGATTGCAAAAGGGGTGAGAGGTGTCTCTTCTCACTGCCTGCAGGAGTTGAGGAGGCTGCTCCTTGGCACCTGCTAGGGTAAGAGTGGGAGGTAATAGCTCCCTAGTTGCAGAAGACTCACTCTTGGGATGGCCTTGGGACATGCTTCCTAGGGAAATCAAACAGGGGTAGCATGTCACTGGAGGGAGGGGCAGTGTAAAAGGATAATTTAACTGGATAATTTAATGGAAGATAGGTCTATCAATGGCTATTCGCCAAGATGGTGAAGGACACAACCTCATGACTGGGGCATTCCTAACCTTTGATTACCAGAAGTGGAGAATGGAAGACAAGGGTGAATCATACCATCTGCCCTGTTCTGTACTCTTCTCCTAAAGCTCTTGAATGGGCCAGTGAGAGACAGGATACTGGAGCGGGTGGGCAATGATCTGACCCAGAACAACAACTCTTGCGCTCTTATGATTCCTTTTCTGCATTAAGGCATATACCTTGTCTCTTGACATATACATCTGTTGGTAATTCAACTAGCTTAATTCAATCATAATATTTTAAAGCTGATATACTGTACATCTGTGTTTAATTGCTCAAATGCCTATTTGTGGTTCCTTTCTCTAAGCCAAAGCTATTTTTATTAAATTTTAAAGTTTTGAAATGGAATGTATTTCACCGAATAGTTTATCATCTTCATAAATCTCCGTAGATCATTTTTATATTATAGAGTGAATTTTATTTCATCTGGATCAGTAATTAATGCACATCATTTCTGTAAGATGCTTTTTTTTCTTTTGGGAGTTCAGCATTAGCTGCCTATATATTGCCTTTTGCAAAAATGTCTAATATTTAATATATTTCTTTAAAATCCCTAGCTAAAAGAAAAACTCATGGTATAATTTCAGGACTTTTTAATCCCTCAAAGATATGAGCAAGTGTTCTTTGAAGTATCTCATGAGAAAATTAACACCAAATACCTTTATGCATTTTTATCACACACAAAAGGTGAATTAAGTCACTACTTACCAGAATGCATGTCATCCATATAATATTGAGAATTTTTGGCTTCTTGCGCTTAGCTGGGTGATGGTCTAGAGACATGTCCCTTTAAAGATACTGCCACCTTTGACTCCATTCCTGGCTTATTGAGACCTGCTTCCAGTCCAAAGTTGTAGTATTCCTCAACAGCAAGAAATTGTTCAAAGAGACCCCATCAAGTTGACCAAAGAATTTTGGACTCCAAAAAGTCTCTTTTTGCTTAGTGATCTAAAAAAGCCCTGAAGCCTCTTCTAATTTGGTAGGCAAACTACTTTTCAATTTTTGTTTTTTTCATCTGGTTTATTTCTGTCTTCTACAGGTGTGGCTCTTTTGGCCAGGGTAGGTACCTTGCTGCCTTCCGCAGTCAGGCCAGATGTTATTGAGAGGACTTCTTTCTACTTTGAGCTTGTGGGTGGTGTAGAGTTCTGAAGAAGCATCAGACCTACTACTTGTGCTTACCTCTTCATCAGATGTATCTGATGAAGTGGTTTTTGCCCAGAAAAGCTTATGCCCAAATAAATCTGTCGGCCTTTAAGATTCCACAGGACTCCTTGTTTTTTCAGCAACAGACTAACAAAGCTACCCTCCAATAATTATTCCTATAGATTTTCATCAAAATCCTTTTATTAGCAAATGCCTGTCTGTATAACCTATTGATGAAGATCAATTTTACTCTTCTTCTTCCTCTGGCAAGATGAAGGACCTATGGTCTTGTGACATATACTACTATCTGGATAGCCATTTGTCTTGGATGGTTTAGATAAACACAATGTGCATCTTGGCAGGATGTTGGAGCAAGAGACAGTCACAGCCTGGAAAAGCTTTCAGTCTAAATAATGAATCATTTCAGGAAGAAAAAAAGTAAAAAGAAAGGTAAAATGGCCAACCATTGAAAAAGCAATTGAGGTGAGTGCTGATGAAATAGTGCTCTTTCCACTTGCATGTCTCTAAAAATGAAAGCGCCATCAATATCAGAATTTAAATTAATGTCTCAGATGATGAATTAGATCTTATAATTTACCTTCTCTTTATCATTGAGTATTTTGTTTAGATCTTACAGGTTTTCCTCTAACTAAATCATCCCAGTATTTTAAATCCCCTCACAGCTGTGACAGCTTGGGCAGAGCCG